CAAACCTATGAAAATATCTATAGATTTTATAAAATTTAATAATATAACTTTTCTATGAAATTATTTTTTGATTGTATGAGAAAGAAATTGACAAGAAAAAAAGTCATGTTCAATTATAAAAAATAAAACACAATTCACCAAACTCGTAAATTAAAGTTACTCTAACAAACTTGCAAGCCATACTAACCCTAGAAAAAAAAAAGGTTGGTGTTATCATTATCGTGATCATTGCTACTATTACTATTATTATTATTATTATTATTGATATTATTATTAACCTTACTAGTATTATTACTATCCATTATCATAACTATTATCATTACTACAATAAATATTATTACTATTTTTATAATTAACACCGCAACTATTATTATCACTATTACTATTACTATCAATAACATTAATAGTATTATTGTTGTTATTGTTATTATTATTATTATTATTATTATTATTATTATTATTATTTTCACACTCGACAACGTAGTGACCTTAAAAAAATTCAAATCTCATAAAGAATATAATTTCTGGCATTTTGTTTTTAGATACAAAAATTTTTTGTTTAAGAAGTCGTCATCTAGTATTATAATTACTAGAAACCCTAACTGATTAACAGAGATTTTATGAAATGAGACTAATTAAGTAAAAAAAAGAAATTATCATCTCTTAAACATCTTATCTAAAATAAGTTATATTGATGATTTTGTATTAAATTACAAAAGTTTATTAGTAAATATTATGATGATTTGCTTATAATATTTCTAACTTTAATATTAATAAATATTTAATTATGGATACTTTTATTTTTTATGTTGATCAATACCACGTACCATAACATTTTTTAAAAATAAAATTAATAAAAAATAAAATAAAATAAAAGCATATGTATTTTTTAAGCTGGTCGAACTTAGCCTGCACGGGCTGGGCTGGACCCGGCTAGGCAAAAACGGCGGGGCAACTGTCTCGATCGTCCCTTCGTTCTCCCTGGTCTTTTTTTTTTTTTTTATTTGTCACTGGTCGTGTTGGGAATTCCGTCCGGTGATGTACTGATATTTGCTCATAGGAGAGCCAAGCACACTGACACAATATTTAACGTGGTTCGGCACAACCGCCTACATCCACGGGAGAAGTCAATATATTTAGAGATAGAGAAAGAATACAAAACAAATACATGGAGGAGGAGGATTACACCCTCTCATACTCAACTCTCAACTCTCTTTGCTGCACTTGCAGCTGCTGCAATGGCAGCAAGGCTGCTGCCATTGCAGCTCTCTCTTCCTCTCTACTCTCTTCACATTTTCATAATTCTCTTCACTCATTTTGCTCTCTTGCATATGCCTCTATTTATAGGCATTCATGGAGGCTTTTCTTCAACAAAGGTGGCTGCCAACTCCAACTCTTCTTCAACAATGGTGGCTGCCAACCTTTGACATCTTGGATGAGTGCACATGGTTGGTGCAATAGCAAATGGTTGTTGCACATTAATGGCAACCAACCTAACACCTCTCACCCCTCCGTCCTCTCTGTCTTGTGCTCCCTCCTTTCTGTGTGTGTTTTGTTCTCGGTGTTCCTCTGTTTGCGTTCCCCCTTTTTTTTCTTGTTCTCTCCTCTGGTTTTTCACCAGTTTTTCCTCCGGTCTCTGCCTTTTTTCTCCCCCTGTGTTTTTCCAGTCTTTTCTCCCTGTATCCGTCCCTTCTGTTCGTCTTTCTCTAGCCTTTTATAAGGCCAGAGAGAGTAAATGAAGCCGTTATAAATCTAGAAATGGAATTGTGGGTAGGAGACGTGGTCTGGGTTTGGTGCCATTTCTTCTTGTAAATGAAGCTGCACTGTTAATCAATCTAGAAACAAGATCGTGGACAGCAGACGTGGTCCGGTTTTGGTACCATTTCTTCCTGTTGAATCGGTCTTCCGAAGACGGTGATGAACAGTAGAAACAGCTCCGATTTTTTGTTAAAATGGTTATCTTCAATTTACCCCTTGAACTTCTGACATTTGACAATTGGGTCCTTAAATTCATTAATTAAACAATTCCAAGTTCAATTAAGTCCCTAAACTTTCAATTCTTGACCAAATTAAATTAAACAATTCCAAGTTCAATTAAGTCCCTAAACTTTCAATTCTTGACCAAATTGACCCCTAAATTTATAATTCAATCCTTATTAGTCCCCATATTTTCAATTTGTGTTGTCTTAACTCAATTTTCAATTCATTCATTTTTTTAATTTTTTATTATATATATATTGAAAAATTCAAAAATTAGATTATAACAATATTTTATTATTATTATTATTATTATTATTATTATTATATCACTAGTAACATAACCACCACAACTTATTTTGAAAGATAAAATTAAAAATTATAAGAACTTTGGCAAAAAGAAAAATGAAACAAATAAAAAATTAAAAGAAGAAGGACCAAACTAAAATAAATATTATTAATTTTCTTAGAAAATAATTTTTTTCATTATATGATAAAAATATATGGTCATGCAGTTTATTTTCCTATAGATTTGATATTAAAAGAGAAAATCAAGAAAAAACTATCAAAAATAATTAAAGGTGCAAAAACAAAAAAAATAACTCAGGCTAATACGTTAAACTTGTGAATAAGATTATGAATTCTTGCAGGATTAATTTTTCCCATAACTATTTTTTACTTAATTATATAATAACAAAAATACACGATTACAAAACGTCAAACTCTTGTGGGATTATAACTTTTTATCTAATACTAATATGTTGAAAAAAAAAATTTAAATTCATCAAACATGTCAACCAAGTCACCAGTTGAATTTGTAAACTTGTCTATAAACTTTATAAAGTTTAATAATATGACTTTTCTTTGAAACTATGTTTTTAGAATATAAGAAAAAAAAATAGATGAAAAAAAGAGTCAAGTCCAATGAAAAAAAAAGAAATAAAGAAGACACCAACAATCTTATTTTTTTAAGAAAAATAGGAAAAACTGAAAAAAAAGAAGAAAAAATTGAAAGACAAATATTTATCAAGACATTTAATATTGGAATATGGGTAATTTATCTATTTGTGTATAATAAATTTATTTATTAAAATCAATTTCAAATAGAAATCGATACACACAAAAGATTTATCGAATACAATAAAAATATAAAAACATATTATACAAGACTATACTTATTAAAAATATTATAAGAAATAAATATTTTTTATACAAAAAATAAATGTAATACACACACACACATATATATATACATATATATATATATATACATATATATATATATATAATGAATCATATTAATCTCTTCAAACTTTTTTAAAATCCAATATAACTAAAAATTAAAAACTATGTAAAAAAGGATATAGAAGCAAAAAAAAACAATTATAGAGATGTAAAATACAAAGTTAAAAATTATTTTTAAAATATAAAAGAAAAGTTCAAGATTTTTTTTTAAAATAAAACTATATAAAAAAAAGAAAAAAAAAAAGAATAAGGCCAAGCCTAACACTTAGCCTATAACCAACAATCTCACACGTGGGTCTGCAAATTCAGGCATAGTTGCACGATCCTTTTATAAAAAAAAGATAATGGGCCCTTAGCTTGATGGAAAAAAAAACACTCCAGTTAGCATACTTAGATTTCAATCAAAATTAAGGTGGTTGATTTTTTCACTTTAAAAATTTATTTTCAACCCACTTAGAAAACATCATAATAACCTTGTAAAACCAATATTTAAGCTGCAAAAACGCAAAAAAAAAATTCAAAACCAAGAATTAACTAGAAAACTAATTTCTTAATAAAAACACTTAAATTAAACTCTCCTCATTATATGAAATCATTTGGAATAAAAATTTAATGTTTTGATAGTTGAAATCGTTAAAATGATATGTTTCTCTCTTTAGGCCGGTTTCTAGCCATTTCTTCTATTTTCTCACCCACGAAAGATTGAAAATGATGAAAATAAAGTTTAATATCAAAATAAATTTGTGCAAACTTCAAAAAAACTGGTCATTTTATAACAAAAAAAATATAAGAGATAAAAATATACTTTACAAATTAATTTGCACACGCCACCTTTGTTACTCGTGTGTTTAGCAGTTCAATTCCCTGTTTTTCAACCTAACCCTCACAAAAAAAATAAAATTAGGCTCTAATTTAGACTAAAAAAAGGGTGAATTGTGCTAAAAAAAATTAAGGATTAAATTAAATGTTTTTTAAAATAACATTATTATAATCCATAGTAAAATATAAAAGGATAAATAAAAGATTCATATACATTTAAAATGCCACACCATTTAGCTTTATATTTAATATTTAATGTGACTTAGTAATGATACATGACAAGGAGGTGCCAATTTAAGTCATTCGTGTGTGTGTGTGGTGTTAATATATAAAATATATAGAAGCGTACAAGGAAGTATGTTTTATGAATACATATGCAAACTGATCCAGGTTTTATATACTGTTTAAAACATCATTAAATAATTTGGTCTTAATATGTGATAATACACTTCAAAGATGAGAAAGAAATTAAAAACCATACAAACTAAATTGAATTATTAATCAATGGACCATCTTAAATATCAACTCATCAACTTGAATCTTGAGTATTAACATTGAATCTTAATTAAATAAGAGCATATGTGACGTAGGGTTTTAATTCAAGAATTTAATTTCCATCTTAATTTAAAAAGTTAAAGTGAATATATGATGGTTAATTTAAAGGGAGTAATTCTCTAAAAAGGGCCGACCAAATGGAATTACCAATTAAAATGTTCCCAAGAAAGCTTTCTGTCCACGTCTTCTTATTAATCTCCCCCTCTATAAGAACATGCTTGCAAACGTCTTGAGTCGCAAATTATCTGAAAGCATATTATAGCTATGGAGATCTTCAGAAAGAAACTCACAGATGTTGACATTTTGAAAAACTTGGAGTTACCGAACGATACAAGAAGAGAAGCCTTGCCACTTTTCCAAGGTGCATGGGAAAACGTGTTTCCAATCATGTTTGAGCAAGCTGGAATGGAAGTTGATGTTCACTGCTCCTGCAGATCAGGAAGGCTTGCATTTACTAAAGGCTGGATTGGAATCGCTCGCCATATGAAGCTTGTCGTACCCGATATCACGGCGGCCTTAAAAATCTATTAAATTTTTGAAAAGAACGGATTTCTAGCATTCAGTTCTTTAATGGGGGAATGGTCTTGTTTAAGGAGTCGCCACCTAGTATCATGGTCACTAGGAACCCTAACTGATCAACAAAGATTCTATAGTTCGGGACTGGTTACGTAAAAAGAAAGATAATATCACCCCTTAAACATCCTGCCTGAGGCAGGCTACATTGCTAGTTTCGTCTTAAATTGCTATATGTTTATTAGTTTGTGCTATGATAATTTGCTTATAATATCCCTGACTCTGGCGTCAGTGAATATTTAACTACAGATATTTCCAACTCTGGCGTTGGTAAATATTACGCAGCTATAGAAACAAAATAAATCTAATTAATATTTTTTTATTCCTGACTCTGGCATCAGTGAATAAACAAATCAAATAAATTTATTTTTACGCATGCACATATTTTTT